GTTAATGAAAGCTAGAAAGTCTGTGCCAGTGGGATGAAGGATTGGTGCCAACAGGCTGAGGGATCTGCACTGGAGCCAGGAAAGGATGCTGAAAGGACGGACCAGAGCTCCCCCCAAAAGCACCACAGCCACCCACCATTATTATTATTATTATTATTTTTTTTGGTTTTTTTTTTCCAGTACCGGGAACCGAACTCACGACCTTGCGCTTGCCAGGCAGGTGCTTTGCCGCTGAGCTAAATCCCCAGCCCCCGCCACCCACCATTATTAGACAGGGTTAATGAGCCACTGGGGTATGCAATCGAGGCTGACAAGTTCACAGTGTTGACAAGGCAACAATGCTATGGTGCGTGCCATGTATTTTTTAGGAAGACATGCATAAGAATATGTTATGTGCACTTTTGTTGCCAACCAACACCACAGCTGCAGAACTATTCAAGTCTTTGAGTAATTACGTATCACAAAAACGAAATTGGTCATTCTGTGTCAGTAAATGCATAGACAAAGTGGCTGCCATGACTGAATGGCTTTCTGATTACAATGCTTGGGTCAAAGAGATCACTTTTGAACGTGTCTATGCAGTGCCATCTGTAAAGTGTCATGAAAAAGGTCAACTGAACTTAATGTTTTGCAGGACGTGGTTAAAATTATCAATCACATTACAGTATACAACCTCACCTCACATCTGTCTGCTAGTTTTGTGAGAACACACAGAGCACATATCTCTCTAATACACAGAAGGAAGAGGGCTTTCTAAAGGTAGATCACTGGCCAGAGTTTTTTAGCTCTGACAGCTGCTCAGATTTCTTTAAAGAAAAACAAAACCAGTCATGACTCGCAGCATATTTCAGTAACAGAATGGGTCACAAAATTTGCTTACTCCTGTGATATATTCAACCTGCGTGATGTACTGAACCTGTCACTTCAGGGGAAAACAACAACTGTCCAAGTCAGCAGACACAGGGGCTGCTCTCAAAGCTAGACTGAAATGATGGGACTGACAAATAAACACTGGGATTCTTGACATGTTTCAAACATCTGCAAATATTTCTAAAAGAGACTGAGCCAGAGTTTTTGTTCTCCCAGTGCATGATCACCTATCTCAGCTTTCAAACACTGTTTCCCCCTCACAAAAGACTCCTGACCTGGGAAGGAATGGATCCACCGTCCACTTGTGAATTAGCCAGGTGAACTGACTTTCTTCATGCTAGAAGAGGATGAACTGCTAAGACTGCCTTGAAATTATTTTTGAAACAAATTAAAACCTCCAAACATTGTGGATTACAGTGAAGGCAGAATATCCTGAGATTGCCACAAAAACACAGAAAAACCTGTTTCCGTTTCCAATGTCCTGTCTGTGAAACAGGGTTTTCTGCAGTGATAGACTTCTGCAAAGTGAGCTTATGTAGTAGATGGGATGTGAGCGACACAGTGTGCATGCTGCTGTCTCCTGTCACCCCCAGATGGGGCTCCTCTCAAAACACTCCCAACCCCACCCATGGAAGAATGTCTTCCACAACACTGGCTCCTGGTGCTAAAACAGTGGGGACTGCTGGGATACAGAAGTCAGCAAAAATCAGATAGGATTCTTGCTCTTGTAAAAATCACACTTCAACAGAGAGGAAGACACACTGGAGCACCAATCAGAAAGAACCACAGGTGGGACAGGTGAAACAAAGTACGCTGCCCCCTACAGTGTGGCACCGGGACACCTGGGCCAGTCTGGATAATGAGGCCGACTGCCCGAAGGAAGGCCTACAGCAAAGTGCAGGAGAGAGGAGTCTGCCTGGAGACAGGAGTGAGGTCAGACTAGGCAGCGCCGCTAAAGGCTGTGGGAAGCCACTGAAGGGTTTTAAGCATCAGAGGTGCACGTGACCAATCTGAAGTTCTGAGAAGGTCCCTTGGCCCGCGGCCTGACAGTCCAGGCCTTAGGATGATGGCGGTGGAGATGGAGACACATGAAGAGATCAACAGACTCTGGTCAGGGACTGGACACAGGGAGGGCTTGTGGGGAACGTTGGGGCCCACGTCAAGGTTCCTAGCTTCCGTATGACAGTGCTACTCACTAAATGCAGGTTGACAGCTGAGGAGAGGTCAAGGACAGGCAGACGCGTAGGGACAGTGTACTTCAGGAGAGGGCTCAGAAGTACCAAACGCCTCCAATGGGTTGGGTATGGCAAGTATTTAACAGGACCTAAAGGAGATGGGACTACATCCTTCTTACACTGGGATATGAGAACATAAACATCAGTGAAGAAAGACCACTTCCTTCAGAGGCTGGTCATGGAAGGAGAGCAACAGGGCAGGAGTCGGAAGGGCAGGCGCAGGGGCAGGGTCAATGGAGAGGGCTGGGGAAGATGTGCCAGAGAGGAGAAGGGTGGATACACAAGAGAGGAAAGAAATGAACAGGATTAGAGGGTTTTAAGAAGGCAGAAGATTAAGAGGAGGCTGGAGAACTGCTCTTAGGAAAAGGACCGTATATCTTGTAAAAGGAGGGAAAGAAGGGAAAGGGACTTTCTCCTGCTTAAAACGCTGCTAATTCTTCAAAGGGTAAAAAAGGAAGCTCGAGGAAGCAGGGTGTTTTTGGGCCTCTCAGTTGACACTGCATACAAGTAAGATGAATATACAATATAAGATAACATGTATATGTTGGGCTTGAGTATTCGCAAAATAAGATTTGACCTAGTAGAGTATAAAGTTTACAAGTACAATATTTTGTGCTTTGTTCCAATCTGGAAGTTCACTGTGAAAATCTAACGCTGTTTCTTACTATCTGAAATAACTGCTAGGTAACAAAATATGCCGGACACGTCCAGTTAGAGACCTACCATCTTTCAATGTGCAGAGATGAAAACGTCCGTGAAGCTGCTTCTCTGGTTAATAATTTGAACCCACACTGTGTGTCCCTGATTCCTTTCACACAAAGGAACCACACCAGAAAGTGGAACCCGTACATGAGGAGAGTACGGAAGTAAGAACGCTGCAAATAAAGACAAGATATAAATGAATTTTCCATTGATCTGTAACAGACACTGCACACACTGGCTGTAGACAACTGCATGTTAGTATTTCACTGACTGGACACTTGTCACACATAGTACAGACACCATCGTTCCAATAGCTTCACAGGCACAGCATACGACAGGAATGGGGAGGATGCCCACCGCCACAGCACTGCACAGCTACGGGAGAACAGTTTCTGATTTCCTGGAGGCTGAGTCAGACAAGACTAAGCATGGGGCCCTGGGAGGCTAGGGCTAGGGCCCAGCAGGCAAAATAGGTGTGTGGCTGTCACGAGCAAGGAAAACACCTCGTTCACCTACAGATTTTATGCTTCTTTGATCCACATATTTTCAGTTTCAAAAAAGTGCAAGTAGGGCCTGGTGGTGTATGCCTGTATTCTCAGAACTCTGGCAGGCTGACACTGGAGAACCTCAAGTTCAAGCCCAGTCTGGGCAACTTATCAAGACACTGTCTCAAAAGGAAAAAAAAGAAGAACATGGGTTGGTCAATGTAGCTCAGTGTGAAGGTCCCGGGTTCAATCCCTAGTACCACACACACACACACACACACACACACACACGCACACATATACACACATACGTAAGATTAAAAAATGAAAAGGAGACATTTCCAGAATGTACTGGCAAAACAAAACGCTAAGATCTGAACCTGCAATTCAACACTTCGCAGACAGAAGATATACAGTAAAATATCACCAATGCTACTGGCTAGAAAGGGGTTAAAAAAAAGCAGTTTCTCTAACTAGGTATCCCAGCTATCTAATTAAACATATTGTAAAGGCTGACTTCTTCAATAATGTGGATATTAAACCTCAGTTTTTAGTACCACTGAAGATTCAGTATTTTTCCTAGTGATTACTATTGGCAGTAATGGGAAATAAAACTCTGCTATTCATTAAACACTGCAAACTTTAAAAGGTAAGAATAGATTAATAACGACTACATTCAAGATTTTCATTATTTAAGATCTTAGAATCTTTCAAAATGTTCTACAGTTAAGGTAATGGACTCACAGAATGATGAATTTCTTATATTCATAAGCAATGTACTAAGAGTCTATGGAAAACATTCAATATCTCAGTATAAGAGTCTATTTCTCCTTCTGCTTTTCATAACTGTAACCGGAAAGCACCCTGCTTCCTCAAGCTTCCTTTTTACCCTTTGAAGAATTAGCGTTTTAAGCAGGAGAAAGCCCCTTTCCCTTCTTTCCCTCATTTTACAAGATATACGGTCCTTCTCCTAAGAGCAGTTCTCCAGCCTCCTCGTAATCTTCTGCCTTCTTAAAACCCTAATCCTGTTCATTTCTTTCCTCTCTTGTGTATCCACCCTTTTCCTCTCTGGAAATTTAATTCATTATTATAATTACGAAATATGGCTTCATTCACAAGGCTTCTTCTACCATCATCCAAAAGAACGATAACAGATGAGGAGAAAAAGCACCACACTAATCAGACCTGTGTGAATGAGTCGGGGCTCCACTGATTAGCAGGGTGACCTTGAGCAAATAACTTCAAGCCTCAGTTTCCTCCTTCCTAAAGCAGGAGGATGCCTGCCTCACACAGTCATTGTAAGGACAAAACAACATTATGCTAAAGCCTTCAGCCAGTTTGGCACAGAGGTAACAGGAGCCCAGTAATGGTTTTATAAAGGAAGAAAGCTTCAGGGCTTACTTTACTCTCCTGCCACAATTTTACTAGTGCAATAGGACAGGAAGGGGAGGAAGAGGAAATACTTATCTATGAGATATATAAAGTCAACTTTAAAAACTGATCTAGCGTTTCTCACTTATCACCTAGAATCATTAATTATGTTTTGATGGAAATATGTCTTACCTCTCTAAGCAGATAGGGCAGAAACCTCATCTTAAATTATTTTGGGGATTTCACAACAGCTTGCTCAGTGCCTTCCATATTAAATACTTCCAATAAATACTGGTTGATTGATTAAACCTCCAAAAGAGCATTTATGCTTAGGAAAGGAACAAATAGAAATCAAAAGATAGAAAAATAAAAATTAAAGGTAGAAAAGCAATATCTCTGAACTATTCTCCCTGAATAATTTTTAATGTGATTCGAGTAAGGTTACTCATTAGCAAATGAAAATATTATTAACTGCTTTTGCTTGGATTCTAAGAGACTTTTGTTTTAGGATAATACCTATTTATTAAAAAGATGTATGGAGTTCACAGGAAGACCTTATTTAATTCCCACCACATGCAAGAAGCATAACAAGGTACATCACAAACAAGAAGCTCTTGCTTTAGTTTTTAAAACTTGGCAAAATAGTTTTAAATTTGAAAGATATCTAAAATATATCATAGGAAAAAAAATATATCATAGGATAAACTTACTTAAAAACTAGAGATAACAAAAACTGCTCATAGATTCTACTTTTGAATACTTTAAAATGGTAAGTTCACAGAGCTGGGGTTGCAGGTCAATGGGAGAGAACCTGCCTAGCATGTACAAAGCCCTCAGTTCAGTCCCTAGTGCCGTAATTTAAAACAAAAACAATCAAGAATATCTGGACCAGTTATTGTCATATGAAATATATGGGAGCTACAGTGCTGTATCACGTCTGTCTTCTGTGAGAACAAAACAGAGGCAGATTAATAGAGGATATGTAAAAATATTTAGGAAAGATGTGTGAATTCTATACTGAACTTGTCATTTTATCCTGCAACCTTCATTAACTGTTTTATAATTTTCTCACTGCCCACAGGCTGACTGCTACGCAAGGGGTACGCTATCTATGGCACATTAAGAGAAATGGGAGGCTGTGCCGCAGCTTCCTGGACTTGTGGCAGACGCCTGCTCTGCCTTGGATACAACCTTCTAAAGACAGGTACAGTTCCATAATAATCTAGATTTGGACAAGAGGCCTACTGGGCAGCAGCTGTAAAGAGTACCTACAGTGGACAACCATTGCTCTGTGGTGAGTGGATCAGGCCATCATTTCTTTCTATAGGTCAGCAGTTCTCTCAAGGACCAAAAGCCCTAACTCAATCACTACTTTCAGACAAGGACTGGGTGGATGGAGATCCTGGTATGGGTTTCTCAGTATCAGGCTATAAACAGTTGGAGGCAGAAGAAGGTTTAGACAATCATCTCATTTAAATGTCATTTCTAGGAAAAAATTCAGAGTTTTCAACTCATGGAAGTTCACAGTGAAAAAAATTTATTCATTAAAAAAACCAAAGCACATGGTTCATTTCTACTGTCACCAATCATAAATACAGAAGCTAACTCCCGCGCAGATTACGGCACTGGTTCTCTTGCTCATCTCTTGCTGCCTACTGCCACGAACTGTCTGTTTTCCTTCACTACATAGGCTGTCCCTCTTCTCCTCCACCACTGAGTTTTTTAAAAGGGAAAAATTTATTCACAAAACCCTTGTATTAATATTGGGCTATTTTTATTAATTTTGTTTGCTGAAACAAATTTCTGTCATTTTTACACAGATAATCACACTATATTTACAAGCTCACACTCTGTGTTCATACAACCTAATACTTTAGTTAATAGCCCATATCATAATACAGTCTCCATTATCATTCACTTTACTAGCTGCGTATTTCCTATTGGAGATACAACAGTATTTCCTGTTGGTGGAATCTAGTACTTTATAGTTGCTAGTACTTTATATATAATATGATTAATGTATTTGATATATATATTTCTTTTTTTTGTTTTTGACTTTTTGAGACAGGGTCTTCCTATGCAGTTCAGGCTGGCCTTAAGTTCACTTTGTAGCCCAGGCTGGTCTCAAACTTGTCACAATCCTCCTGCCTCAGCCTCCCGAGTGCTGGGATTACAGGTGTGCATCACCACATTTAGATATGGGATAATTCAACTTTGAGTTTAAATATTTTGTTCCTCTTAGAAAAACACTTTGCCTTAAGATTTTAAGGTATCCCTTTTTTAAACCCATCCCAGCTCTTTTCTTTATCCTCTGCATTAAATTGATGAAGTTGGTCTAGATAATTTCTAAACTCTTCCCATTTTAAATTTCTGGGAGTATAATATTCTCTACAGTTAATGGACTAAGCTTTGCAAATACCAATGAGAGTTAATAAGGTATACAGAATACTGGAATACAGGTCCAAATGTCATAATTTATTTCTAAAAAAGGAGAGTCTAGGTTTTCACACTTAAGCATAATCTGTAAAAGGGTTCAACTCTGCCCTCAGTATTATCTTGAAAAAAATTACAATTTCCTCATAGCATACTTCAGAATCATTGAGGGGTTGAGGTTGAACCTTCTATTCCAAGGGTTCTCAAAGTCTCATGTGCATACAGGTGATTTGAGAAACTTCAAAATGTAGACTCCTTGCTGGGTGTGCTGACACATGCACTTGGGAAGCTGAGGCAGGAGGATTGCTCCAAGTTCAATGCCAGCCTGGGCTACATAGTGAGTTCAAACTCAATCTACACTACACAGTGAGACCCTGTCCCCCCACAAAAAAAATAAAAGCAAAACCAAAAACAAACAAGGGGAAAAGGGGTAGACTCCTGGTCCCATCTCTACATTCTGATTTAATGTGACTAGATTGGTCTTGAAAGATGCATTTAAAAATCCTTCCCAGTTAATTTTAGTCATACATTGAATAATACTGCATTAGTCTCTAATCTACCTGATCATTCTATTAGATGAACTGTTTTTCTGGGCTGGGGAATGTAACTCAGTGGGAGAGTGCTTGCCTAGCATGTTCAAGGCCTGAGTTTAATCTTCAGTACTGCTAAAAAACAAAAAGCATAAAATAGAAACAACTAAAAAATAAAGAACTTTGCATAGATCAATTCTTTTATATTTTTCAAATTCTTTAATATTTTTTCAAATTACTAGCTTTTCTAGTCTCATCTACAAAGTGAAGAACATTAACATCTTCTGTGATAGATTTATAATCTTTCTAAAAAGAACATTCACAAATTTGACAAATCTTAAGGCAAAGTGTTTTCCTAAGAGAAACAAAATATTTAAACTCAAAGTTTAAGTATCCCATATCTAAAAAGTTTGGAGCCAGAAGTATTTCAGAGTTTGGATTTTTTTTTCCTTCAGATTTTAGAATATCTGCATATACATAAAGAGATATTTTGAGGGGCTGGGGATTTAGCTCAGCGGCAAAAGCGCCTGCCTGGCAAGCGCAAGGTCGTGAGTTCAGTTCCCAGTTCCGGAGAAAAACCAAAAACAAACAAACAAAAAAAAAGAGATATTTTGAGAAATGGGACCTACGTCTAAACATGAAATTCATTTGTTTCATGTATGCCTTATGGGTACAGACTGAAGGAAATTTTATATAGCATTTTTAAATAATTTTGTGCAGAAAACAGTTTTATACTGTGGAGTTTTCTACTGATGGCATTAGGCTGGCACTCACAATTTTGTACTTTGTATTTTTGGATTAGGAATGTTTGACCTGTACAGCACTTAAGGGTACCAAGATGAAAAATCTAAAAGCAAGCTAACTGGTTCAAAAATTATCGTTTAGAAAAGCTTGCCTTATAACTACATGGCAAACTTTAATCTTATAACTTTGTGTCTTTAATGAAAAAAAAAAAAAAAGAACCATGTATAGTCTAAGCCAAAGTGAAATCTACATCCTTCCTGTATATCCTTTAAAAAAAGAAAGAACTCTGAAATGTGCTAATCTTTCATAAACCTCAAGAATGTTTACATGAGTTTTAAGGGAACCTCTTATTAAGAGATTAAACATAAGAGCTTATTTCTTATAAAAAAGGAGGGGGAAAAACCTGGTGACTCACGCCAGCTAGTAAAAAGTCTCACCTTAGCAATGGATTCTTTTTCCAAATGAGCTCGAGATCCACATGCAATAGCCATTTGATCCTGAAGACAAAGCAGTGAAATAGTTCTTCAGTATTTAAGTAGCATTTACAAATATATTTATTTCCAATGTTAAATGTCTTGCTTTTAGAAACATTTAAAAAATTGAAAATATTTTAAAGGTTTGTTGAATTCAGAATAGGCATAGCTTTGAGAAGCCTAATCATACTGGAGGGACACTGAATTTAACTTGAACAAGGCTAAATGTAAAAGGTAAGTGTTCTTTACAGTTCATATCTTTACACATTTGTTCTGATTAAGACACTCTATTACTATTATTACTGAGAAAAATTAGTAGTGTCAACAAAAAAGTGTTAAGTGTTAATCTCTAAATGGTATGCATCTTAGAAATCCAAAGCTAGCAACTAAAAAATACTACAAAAAATAAAAATTTAAAAAGATGAGTGGATACAAAATGAGTATGTGCATGATACTTTAGCATGTACAATCAGAAGAGACAATGAAGGAAAAAGACAGCATTGATAATATCACTGAAAAAGAATGATCTAGAAATCAACTTTATAAGAAATGTGGTAATATCTAAGAAACATGTAAAAGCTACAAGGCAGACAAAAGAATCCACAAACAGAAAGACATATCATAATTATGGATGAGAGGAGGTGATAACAGCATTCAAAAGTCAGTTTTCCTTAAGTTAAGCTGTGAATTTAAGGTTATACCAATAAAAATAACAAAATGATTTTTCATTGAACTAGACAAGCTGATTTTATGGTTACTAATGAGAAACAAGGAGAAAAAAGCCAGGAGATACACTCCCAATTACACTTGTACTAAGAGCACTGTGAATAAAACTCAGCAATTTCCACACTGTACCTGCACCTTGTCTATAGAAAACATTTATCAAAATCACATTTACATAACTTGACCCATCCACACCAACACTCTTCCCCATGGTGTGAGTACATGTGTATATGTAACAAGGCTTTCATGTGCAGTTAATATTTCAGTGTTAAATGCATGTTTATCCAGAAGGGTGGGCTACGAAGCTATGAAAGAATGAAGAAGTACTTTTTTGAAGCACAAGTATGCTCCAATTTTTAAAAGGAAACAAAGAAACACTGTATGTGCATACCATAGTTTGCCATTCCTAATACACACACACACACACACACACACACACACACACACACACGTTACTTCTTTACCTCTGACAATAACTGAGGTGGAACAGGTTTCATTATGTATCTTCTTATACTACTTACATTCTGAACAATTCACAGAAATAAAATTGGAAAATATTCCTGATAAAAGAAGGGGCAATTTTATAAATCTACATACAAATGACAAAACTTTAACCACTTAAGAGTTTAGCCCGAGCATCACTTGGGCAGCATTGGTTTATGTACTGACTATCCCAAGTGTCACTTGGTGACGTCATCTCAACCAGTCGATTCTTGTATTGAATAAATTTCATAAAATTGTGGTTTTTATATTTTCTTTTATATTATCTTATGAAAATTAATGAAAAAATATGCAGGTTTGGTCATCCTGTAATTAAATGACTGGACTGGTAAGTGGCTTTAATGAAAGTCATGATTTAGAAGCAGTCATCGTGTGACAACACCTTCTGCATTTGCTCTTCTCTCTGCATGTAAAAATAACACAGCTGAAATCTACTCATGAGCTCATGCTCTTTTTCACTTAAAAATTTTCCCATGTTCAAGTTCGTTGTTGTTTGAACTTTTTATTAAAAGAATTTTAAGACATACACAAAAATAGACACACACATAAAAGTTGAAAATAGGACAATGAAGATCCATAAACCAAGCTTCAAAAATTATCAACACACTCAGGCAGACTTGCTCAAGTAAAGTCCCTTACTACCATTCCAATCACCACTCTGGAATTATTTTCAAGCACATAGATGTCATGTACTATATATTTTATATGCAATATTCTTTGTATATAAATTTGTACATAAATCATAAAAAGGTCTGGGGATGTAGCTCTTAAAAATTTACTCCTCAAAACTTTACATGGCAAAACTAGCTTGTCAAGTGGATTACAGCTAAATTTGAAATCCAAGTAGAGCTATAAAGCTATGGAGCCAATCTACTGAATACATTTAAATTATAATATAAATCATATTTATAAGCGAAAATAAATATGAACATTTTTCTCCAAGAAGTTTTCATGTAAGAAATTAGAGCTTTCTTAAAAAAAAAAACCAAAAGGCAGGGATGAAAAATCCTATCGAATGTTGATAACTGTTGGAGTTGGCTGGTAGGTGCATAGAGGTTTATTATACTATTCATTTACTTTTAGACATGTTAAAAATTCATAGTGAAACATCAAAAGAAAAGCATGCTAATGTGTATCTATCTATACAAGATGGTTACATATACAAAATTTGTTTAACTTCTGAAGGCTTCCTTACTACTAGCTGTTCTATGATCTTTATGTTTTCACATCAGTCAATGCAAAACTTTAGGGCTGAGGGCATAGGCTCACTGGTAGAGGGGTTGCCTTACATGCTTGATGCCCTAGAGTCTATTCGCAGCACCACAAGCACCCCCCTCCATTATATTTTAACATATATCCAGAAAAAAATGTTTACACTGAAAAAGTACTGACAGTGGTTATGTCTGGGTGATAGAAGGTAGTTGGTTATTTTCCTCCTTGAGCTTGTTGCTATTCTTTCTACAGTTTCAGTTATGCTATTAAATAAAAATATTTTTTATAGAAATAAAGCAAAACAAAAATTCTATCATATACCTGGGTATCACATCCCTTTTCTTCTTACTGTCACATGGGCAGCATTTAAGAACTCAGTTGACTAGTTGACACCTGTTCACGTGTTCTCCTAAATCTGAGAGAAGACATACACGTTTGGCTTATTTTAGCCTCTATGAGAATTTGGCTCTGGGTGTCTTTTATGACTATATGTTTTTAGTGAAACACAGAGCTTTCCCCTTAGAAATGATACAGAGTAGTTAATTCACTTGTCTCACAAATATTTATTGAGCACCACCTCAGGCATCAGGGATGAAGCGGTAAGACCTCTCTCCTAGAGAAGCTGCCCTTCTGGGACAGAGAAGAGGGATTACTTCTGACAGTGACCACTCCCGTGCTGCTGCATCACTAGGGATGAGCGATTCCATGTGAGCCAGTTTTCTAAATAATACGACTACAGCTCAAAACCACAAATTTAGTCTTTTCAGATATGTCATTCTAAAATCTTATATACTTTATTATTTTCTTTTGATAATAACGGGGCTATTAAATTCCTCAAAATTTTTGTGGTTAGCAAAAATTAGTTTTTTTAAAAATTTACTTTTCTTTCCTTTTTTTTGTATTTTTAAAAATTGGTTATACCAGTGGGTTCCATTTGGGTAGATCTGCACAGGCACTCCACACACTGGTCATTTTCACCCTCATGCCGCACCCTCCCCCTTTCACATTTTAGGGGGTTCGATGTGTGTAATGTACTTGCCTCACACCCGCCCCCTCATTAACTGCCCTTACACCCGAGCCCCATGCCCTTCCTCTTGTCTAATAACAGCGTCCCTTCTATTTTTCAGGTGCTTTAGAGTCCGCATACTGGGGAGTGAGTTAAAGTTGTGAAGATCAAGGTTTCAATCTCCTAAAACAGAGGTGGCCTGCAGGTAAAACTCAACCCGCGGTCCAGTTTTGGATGGGAGACATGTGATTTGCAAAATCTAAAACGTTTGTCTCTGGCCCTGTATAGAACGTTTTGGTGTCCCTTGCTCTAGGAAATCACCCCTTCAGAATTAGCTTTGCAGGTATTAAACCACTACTGTGAAAGGCAGTTGCCACCCCGAGCCGCCTTTTCTAATGACTTGGGAACCACACCCTGTGATATGCTGACACAGTCATCTGGAAGTTCTGTTAGTCTTCCTCTATTGTTTGTTTATTTATTTTCAATACAGCAGCTGGGAATGAACCCAGCTTCTTTACACTGAGCCCAGCCCCCTTTTAAAATTTTGAGACAGGATTCATTACACTGCTAAATTGTGCATGTTGGGCTCAAACTTGCAAGCCTCCTGCCTCAGCCTCCCAGAATGCTGGAATTACAGGCTACCACACCTGTCTCTTTTTGTTTTTAAGCTGCCCTTTGACTTTTGCATTCTTCCTTGTTTGATTTTCCAAAGATCTCAGCAAAAATGCTTGCGTAGCCGCCTGGTCTATAAAACAAATGATTATAGAGTTAAGGGTCTCTTTTATATGCTTGGTCATCTACCCACATGCTGAGAAGGTGAAACAAATATATCAGCCTCTCACTTGCTCAGATGTTCTATTAAAACAAAAAAGAAAAGCAAAAACTATGATGTTCTTTTGAGGAACAACTACCCCTAGCATCCTGCTGCACCAAAACCAGTTGACTAAGGATTACCATACTCAAAACAAAGAGACATTCAGGGTTAGCAAGCAGGCACTCCAGGCTGAGCTGTGTGTGTGTATGCTTAGTAGTTATTTCCCATAGGTAATACAATTTTACATCACATCTCTTTCCTATACATGACCAGTAGACACTTGTGGGCTGAGAAGCTAAACTTGTTGGAACTCTGTCTAAACGAGAATTGAAGGCCTGTCACAACTTGAGGAATTACTCTGACTGTGAAGTACAGACCTTTTGTCATCTGTGTTTGCCTGTTCAGGGATTTTTGATTCTATTCATAATAGTTAAGCCATGAAATAAGTGACTATGGTTGACTCACTTTAGAAAAATTACTGTATAATCAAATATATTTTCATTAGAAGAGGTTGAATAATTGCTGTGTAGGAGGAAAGCTTTGTACATTAAAAAAATGGTGTCGATAAGTAATGCAAATTAAGCGTTTAGAACTAAAATATAAATACTCCCTACTTTATTTGTGTCACATAATGTTCTACCTAAATTATCTGCAGTTAGTTTTAAAACTTTAAAAGAACAGTTATCTTCAGAGAAGGAACCGTAGGCAACTTTTCTAAATGGGCCTTGTAATAATAATTAAATCAGAACATGTGACCTGATTACTCTGAGAGGAAATGCAAGTGAGAAGTAGTGGCACACTTCTCTTTGTTGCAACAAAAAATTAAATCTGCTCAGAGAAAAGAAAATAGCAGAAATCACTGAAAAATGTACTGGAGAAACTAACCCGTGAAAACGGCACAGTACCACACAAGACATGAAAGTTAACTACTGCCATCTAGTGAATCGGTTATATAATTGTAATGCTAGACGTTTGAGAAGACGTTCTTTCTTCATTTCTTTTTTCTCATTTTCAGAGCTATCTCACTACTTCCAGTCCCTGTTTTTGCAGGGCCTAGGGAATATACGCAAGGGTGCTTATCAGGCACGTGACTTTGTGAACTGAGAAGTGAATGGCAGTTACACTAACGATAGTGTCTGACTGTAGAAACTGACAGCAACATCCACGTTTATGAGCAAAACAAACAAAAGCCAAGCACAACCACCACCGTAAAGACAAGGGGACAAGGTTTAATGTTGACGTGTAAGAGAAAGTTGGCAACACAAATCAATAACGTACTGAAGCCTCATCAGAAAACTGCCAGGACAGAAAGAAAAATGCTATTTGAAAACTCAGAACAACTATTCCTAGCCTACCATACAGAAGACATGTAGAAAACTTAATTGAATCAAAATAATTCAAGTGCTGTGATACTCTTCTAAATAATCAGGCATACTGTATGTAGCGAGATTCTGTCTCAAAATAAAATTTTTAAAAGGGTTGGAGATTTATCGCAGTAGTAGAGCATTTACACAGCAGGTGTGAGGCCTAGCACCACAAGGGAACAAAGAAGTGGATTCACAAGATGAAGGCTTCATTTTGATATTTTTCCTGCTTTGTTTGGTTTATTCATTAACTTTCGCTAAACTGTTTTCTTTGCCTACTGCACAATGACAGAGTCAGTTGCTAAAAATTCTGCCCTGCTCCGCTACCTAGAGGGATAATCTGGGAGAGACAGTTATCAAGTCCCTGTGCATCCTTTGAGAACCACAGAACCAAATCCAGTAACTTTACCAATTAGATTTTGCTGTAGCCTATTAGGATAACTACAGGACAGGAGGTGGAGATACTTTCTAAAGTGAGACCAAACTGTAACACCAAGAGTACTCATGTCACATAGGGTTCACGGTAATTCTGTGGTGATAGAAATGCTATGCAGTGCGGCAGCCACTAGCCACACGTATTTGAAGTAGGCAATTAAAATTTTATTCAATTTAAGAAGCCGCAAGTAGCTATTGGCTGTTTGAACAGCACAGGTAAAAGGGATATTTTTATAGCTAGTTCTTTTAACAACTATCTTAGTTAATTCAATTAGTATTTAAGAAATCTACATCTGCTACAAATAAAGTGAAGTGGGAGTACATGATGGTGTGAGAAGAAACAGTATTTATTTTATTTTTGGTACTGAAAATTGAACCCAGGACCCTGAGCTTGCCTGGCGGGCACTCGTGCCACTGAGCTATATCCCTGGCCTAGAAAGTGTTTTAAAATCCACAAAAATTAAATAATTCAACATTTCTAGGAAGATAGGTTATTTTTGCATTATTATATTTGTTTTTTGATTTTTGTTTACTTTTTTCTGTTGTATGTTTTTTTGGTAATAATAAATAGGGATTATTTTAACAACTACCTATACTATTTGGTTCTAAACTAGATCTATTTCATTTGGACAGTTCTATTTATTGGTTTTCTTTTGGCCCTCAATTTGTTGCTTTAGTTCTGTAGAATGTATTTTGCTTATTGTGTTGCTGCAGGCTTATTTTTGTTTTTTGTTTTTGTGGTTTTTTTTTTGTTGTTGTTGTTTTTTTCTGGTACCAGGAATCAAACTCATGACCTTGCACTTACCAGGCAGGCGCTGTGCCGCTGAGCTAAATCCCCAGCCCCTTGCAGTCTTATTTTCATTATTATTTCTTCAGTCAGAACACATGTAATTCTGATTAATGTGGGCAGCTCTCCTACAGTGTAGATGAATTCTCCTTCATATATTTCTACCTTTTGTGACACCTGTTTTTTTCCTCTGCATTAATTTTTTCCCCCTTTACAGAACTGGGGATTGAACCAGGGAGTCCTGAGCTACACTACTAGCCCATTTTATTTTATTTTGAGACAGAGTCCTGCTAAATTGCCCGTGCTGGCCTGGAAGATGTAGTCCTCCTTCCTCAGTCCCATGAGTAGCTGGGATCGCAGGTATGTGCCAACATGTCAGGCTGAAGTAGAATTTTAAGGCCTGAGTATTATGTAGACACAAGGAGGCCTGTAGGGAGGGAAGGGACTATTTCTAGAGCCTTCTGTGCCTTTCATAGGCTACCATGGTTCCTCTGTGTTGTGAAATTTTGTCAAGTGTCCTTGAAAAAATTTCAAGGAGACATTCCACTCAGGAATGGATCTAACCATTTGGATCTGTGCTCCCAACTTGGCTTGGAGCCCTGACAATGGCAAAGTCTAGCAATTTTTCTTGCTTCTGCAAAGATCCTGGCTTTGTTTATGCTAAGTATGTGTACTGTTTCATCTACCATGGGTGCTTATTTATTCTTTCAGTTTTATTCTTTGTAGACTAGGAAGCATTCTATAAAAATCTCAGGATTTATTAAATTTACCTTCTCTATAAGGCATTTGAAAAGTGCAAATGACACCAGATTTTTCTTTTTTCAACTCTATGTTTTAAAATTGTGGCTTTAAGTTATACTTCTTAGTGATTTTGATTTTTCTTTGCTTCATCCAAAGCAAGATTCCTGGAAGTCTCAGTTATGCTTTTAAATAACAGCTGAGCTATGCTTTACATAAAAATAATTCACTAAATATGCACAATACATATGAAAACACTGGTAGAAGTTGGGCAATTAGAAATCATGAGAGAGAGATAGTCATAACATTAACTGTTAAGTCAATCTCAGAAAACTGCCGAGTGAATGTAACAAAATGATTAGTTTGGCTAGGCTGCAACATTTATATAGGAATCTCATACCAAAAAACCTGTTTTTTAAAATTACAGGTAAATTCTTTAAAAATTTTACCTCAGAACCTCCGTGTTCTGGACTGAATATCATTTACACAATACCCTTATACTTACAGGCCAAGGCTGTAGATCCTTTAGTCCCTTTTCTAATTTCTCAACATCTGGAAACTTTGTAGCTCCATCAGCATCTGCCATAAGGATCTTTTCTCCTCTTGAACTAAACACACCCTGTATTTAAAAATTACAAGTAAAAAAGGGTTCTTAAAATTATTAAATTCAACAACATTTCAGTTAGTTCTGGTCTAATTAAAACATCTACAGTTGAAATCTTTGGTATAGAATGGTAGGAGGCTGGAGTTCACTGATAAGATATTCCCAAATATATCTGTGGCCTGTCTCATTATTTAAAAAAATGTGTGAGGTCATACTAATATCATAGAAAATATCAAGATAATAAAATATGCTTGGATATTCTGTATCACTAAGAATAAAAAAAAGTATCATATGTGTGCGTCATGGTACTTAAAAGGGGTCAGAGGTAATTCAGAGTAATGATTAAGATAGACTGAACAAAAATAGTGAATTTGCTGTGAAATATATAATATGCTTACAGATCTTTAGTAGTCTTTAGTATGAGACCTAGAGTATTTTACATTGATTGTTTTGGTTTTTTTGACCAGGGTCTTGCTGTGTGTCGTTGAGGCTGGCCTTCAACTCATGGTGACCCTCCTGCCTCAGTCTCTTGAATGCTGAAACTACAGATATGCACCACCACGCCCAGCTTAAATTACCTGCTGAATACAGTAATGAAATGTCTTCCTAAATTTCACTTTGACAACACTTAACATATTAACATAATGTGACTGTAGGTAAGATACGTCTAAATATAGACAGAAATTTGATCATTTATTCTGACATAACAGGGCCCCTAATCAGTATCTGTGATGTCTTTTTAACACACCCATTAGAACATATGTAAGAAAGTAGAAATTAAAATTTTACCACATTTAATACCTAAACATAAGAGGTTTTAAAAACGAGAAAACATCAAATGTATAAAATCTGAAGTTATTAATTTAAAATGGGAAAAAATCCACAACAGAAACATCACTTCAGTGACGTGGAAGGGTGAGCAGTCACGCTGCTGCGCCTTCAGTCGCGTTTCTGCAAAGCTCCCTGTACTCCCAGATCATGCCCCATCTTCCTTGAAGAGCTTAAGAATTTACCACCTATGTGACGTCTGTGCTCCCAGACTGAGCATTAGAACACTACGTGCGAATTCTTTCACCACTCAACAGTGATATTCTCATGGGCAGGATGGGTTTCATAATAAAATACAATGTTGGCTCAATAAATAAGATGGAGAGAGTTAAAGCCCACCATGGTATTTCATCAATCCTATGGCCAGCATGCATCTTTCCACCACTGCCTGCTTGGAGTTGGATATAATGGTTAGCACTCCAGGAGTCACCTGTGTGCACGAGGAAGATGGAATGGGTGGGATGAAG